TTTCTCCCTTACTACTCTCTTTACATCATCATTCCACCAATCGCTCCTCTTCCCTCCTGCACCCACTTTCCTGTAACCACAAACTTCTGCTGAACACTCTAACACTACATTTTTAAACCTACCCCATACCTCTTCGACCCCATTGCCTATGCTCTCATTAGCCATCTATCCTCCAATAGCTGTTTATATCTTACCCTAACTGCCTCCTCTTTTAGTTTATAAACCTTCACCTCTCTCTTCCCTGATGTTCTATTCTCCTTGTATCCCATCTACCTTTTACTCTCAGTATAGCTACAACTAGAAAGTGATCTGATATATCTGTGGCCCTCCTATAAACATGTACATCCTGAAGTCTACTCAACAGTCTTTTATCTACCAATACATAATCCAACAAACTACTGTCATTTCGCCCTACATCATATCGTGTATACTTATTTATCCTCTTTTTCTTAAAATATGTATTACCTATAACTAAAACCCCTTTCTATACAAAGTTCAATCAAAGGGCTCCCATTATCATTTACACCTGGCACCCAAACTTACCTACCACACCCTCTCATATATATATATATATATATATATAATATATATATAATATATATATATATATATATGGACATTACTCAGCAACGGTTGAGAGACATTACTTTTCCAGATTAAACAAAATGCACCCCACTGTCAAATGTCTGACAGTCTGACACGCTGACAGGATAACAGGCTGACAGATTGACAGATATCATACCTATTCCCTTTCTCAAACATTCAACCGCCGATCTGGGTAAAAAATAATTTTTGATGATTCTTTTTTATCTAAATCTGATGTTACTGGAAAACGTATTGATGTAGTTGGGTCATCATTATAATCTTCATTATGCTCATCATTCTTGTATTCCTCATTTTCCGCCACCATCGTCAGTTTCATGGTCGTTAGAATCGTGTCCGTCATCACAAGTAACTTTTTATATTCTTGCGGCCCTTGTTATCATCAATGATCACTATTATCCTAACTATCATCACCAATAATAGTTATGATGATGATGAAGGTGATGATTATCATTATCATCACCTCCAGTACTACAGCCACCACAACTACAACTATCACCAACACCACTACCACTATCACCATCACCACTATCACTATCACCATCACCACTACCACTATCACCATCGCCACCATTACAACTATCACCATTACTACCACTATCATCATCACCACCACCACTACCACTATCACCATCACCACTACCACTAACACCATCACCACTACTACTAACACCATCACTGCTACCACTAACACCATCACCACCACCATTACCACTAACACCATCACCACTTCCACAAACACCATTACCACTATCACCATCACCTCTACTACCACCACAATGGCAGGGAAAAATTCCCCACCACCACTACCTTTTCCTCTTCGCTGCTGAAGGTAATAAGGGAGGGTCTCAGCAGCCTTAACAACCAGGGAAGAGACGTGGCGGGGAGGAAAGTGATCCTGGCGGGGAAGTAGGAATCGGTGTTGTCGGAAAGTTTATGTGGGGGAAAATGCCGTCGGAGAGGGGAAAAACTGCTACGCGAGAGGGTTTTTCCTGGTTATAGAAGGGAAATTATGTAAGGAATGAGAAGCTTGGGGAAAATATCAAGAAAAAAAGGAAGGAAAATAGGAAGAGACAACACTAATCATGTGAGAAATACATTAAACTAATTAAAAAAAATAGACTTCATCAATTCTTTTTAATCGCTGAATCAGCTTCCGTCTCTTTCTCACAGCGATGGAGAGAAATCGTATTAAAGGAATGTCAACACGGGGGAAAAAATATGACGTTTACCTACGATATTCGACCGCAGGGACAGCGTGGTATAGCATTATCCTGGCTAAGGCCGAGAGCTTCATGGACGCTGCCTGGCTGAGTCAGTTGATGGTAGAGGGTCGTAAGGGGAGATACCTACCCTGTAATATCGACCCTAATACGATTATCATCCTTTGTAGCTTTTAGCTGATTCGTTTTCTTTCGATCGTTATTCCTGCGTTCCGTCACACGGTATTGTTTCTAATATTACTTACTGTATTGATTCATCAGTGATGTATTACACACACACGTTTCTTCCGGTGATTTAATATTTTGCTATGTGGCACTCGCGTCGAGTATTATCTGCTAAGTAGCAAACTGGAGGAGCAGGATGGAGAGAAGAGAGAAGGAGGAAGAGAGAGAGAGAGAGAGAGAGGAGAGAGAGAGAGAGAGAGAGAGAGAGAGAGAGAGAGAGAGAGAGAGAGAGAGAGAGAGAGATTTGGGACACGGTGGGTCGAAGACCCACCTCTTCCCGACCTACCAATATGTAAATTACGCTTGGCTCCCAACACGTTGAAACACATGCAGTCACACTGCCGCTCCAGCCTCACACGGGACTCGAACTGGGATTCTTCCACGCTCTTCTCACTGTTAATAGCCACCACCCCACTGGCCATCCTATCATTCTCATAGAAGCTATTGTACTAAACACACACCAAGGCTGTGGGACTGATCACCTCACAGCCACATCACGACTTTTACTGTCTCCTCTGTATTTCAACTGAAGAAACCTGCTAAGTAGCCAGAAAGTCTGAAGACACTCGTTTGTTCCCCTACGATGAACTGCCTCTCACAGGCTTAGTCCTTACCCAAGAATATATTAATTACCTCAGTGAAGGGTAATTGTTATTTTTTGTTATTATGTTAAGAGCTAACGCCGTGTTATTTATTCAACTCAAGGTGGTGTGAAGGCTCGAGTCTCCATCCTCATAACAGATACTAACTGTACTCATCTGAGGGAAGCTTCTGTAACCGTCGATCTACAAGAGATAAAAGCGAAGAGTTAAGTTGAATTTACTCTAACTTGATTTGGAAACCAAAGGAATTTGTATATTATCATCATATCTTATTATTATTATTATTATTATTATTATTATTATTATTATTATTATTATTATTATTATTATTATTATTATTATTGTTATTATTATTATTATAGTTCCTCGGTCATACGTTTCAAAAGAAACGAGTGTGGAGAACGAAATACTTTCTTTTGGGAAATAATACTCAGTGTGAAGATTGTTGTTGTTATGTAGTTGTTGATGCTGTATTGGTGCTCTTAAGGAAGATACAGGAAGAGAAGGAGGAGTAGAAGAAGAAAGAGGAAGAGGAAGGGGAAGGGGAAGAGGAAGAGGAAGAGGTAGATGAGAAGAAGGAGGAGGAGGACTAGGAGAAGGAGGGGGAGGAGGAAGAGGAGGAGGAAGAGGAGGAGGAAGAGGAGGAGGAGGAATAAGAAGAGGGAACTGCTGACATGTATGGAAAGGGCTACTTTATGCCTCTTTTATCTTCCTTCACGGCACACACACACAGGCAAATACACAGAAAGATCCACAGACACACAGATAGACACAGACAAACCGAAGTCGTAAGCCCAAGTTTACAGCTTGGCATCCAGTGACAGGCTCCGAGATAAGGAACAAATATTTGAATCATTTGAGAATCACGAGAATGACGTGTATTGTGGAATCACCAGAAACCTCTATTAACAACAATAATTCGCCCACTGTGTCGGCGGTATTGACACGCCATTTCAGCTTTGTGATGTGGAACCAGAATAGTTCAAGGAGAGTAATGCTGAGGAGAGATTTCAAACCGGGGAATTGAGTGGCAGAATGATTCTATCTAATTCAAGAACATATCTAATCCAGTTATAACATAAGACTGTCTACGACAATCACATTACATAAGGCTAGGTTTAGGTTGTTCACTACAGGCTCGACCCTCCATGTGGTAATAGCAGAACACGCTACCTGCGCTCACATTAATCAGCAGTGTAGCAGTGTATTGTGGCTCTAGTGTCGTGTCTGAGGCGTCTTTCCCTGGGGGAAGGACAAGACTGTGTGACGGTGTACCTTAATGAGAAAGCTATTGATCAGCGGGAAGATGAAAAAAACTCAAGGGAGAAAAACAATCACGAGGAGAAGAGGTAGATTTTGTTGTCAGAGCTGGAGGGAAGTAAATCTTTAGAACGAAGGTGAAAAAAAAAGTGAAAAGTGGCGTAGAGAAATAAACTGAAAAAGAAACAGAATAGAGTAGAGATATAATTGGAAATTACAAAAATTTACACACACACACACACACACACACACACACACACACACACACCACACACAACACACACACACACACACACACACACACACACACACACACAGTGTTGGAACATGTAACGAGTCAACTACCTTTAAAGAGCAAGCGTTCAATACAGTGACTGAAAAGATGACAAACTCTCTTGTTAACTTGACTTAGTGAAGATAAGTCGCTTATAGTGACCTCGGAGATAGTGAAGATGGTAGCGACCTCGGTGATAGTGAAGAGGATAGTGACCTTGTTGACAGTACATGTAGTGGTGACCTAGTTGATATTGAAGAGGATAGTGACCGCGTTGATAGTGAAGAGGATAGTGACCGCGTTGATAGTGAAGAGGATAGTGACCGCGTTCACTGTAAATATGGTAGTGACCTCATTGACAGTGAAGAGGATAGTGAACTCGCTGATAGTAAATGTGGTAGCGACTTCGGTGACCAATAAAATAACATGGTTTATTTGCACTTCACTATATTCTGTAGTGTATGACTTAGCTGTAGTGTATGTCTTAACTACAGTCTATGTCTTAACTACAGTGTATGTCTTAACTACAGTGTATGTCTTAACTACAGTGTATGTCTTAACTACAGTGTATGTCTTAACTAAAGTGTATGTCTTAACTACAGTGTATGTCTTAACTAAAGTGTATGTCTTAACTACAGTGTATGTCTTAACTACAGTGTATATCTTAACTACAGTGTATGTCTTAACTACAGTGTATGTCTTAACTACAGTGTATATCTTAACTACAGTGTATGTCTTAACTACAGTGTATGTCTTAACTACAGTGTATATCTTACTACAGTGATTCTTACTAAAGTGTATGTTTTAACTACAGTGTATGTCTTAACTAAGTGTATGTCTTAACTACAGTGTATGTCTTAACTACAGTGTATGTCTTAACTACAGTGTATATCTTAACTACAAGTGTCTTAACTCAGGTATGTCTTAACTACAGTGTATGTCTTAACTACAGTGTAAGTCTTAAATACAGTGTATATCTTAACTACAGTGTATGTCTTAACTAAAGTGTATGTCTTAACTACAGAGTATGTCTTAACTACAGTTATGTCTTAAACAGTGTATGTCTTAACTGAGTGTATTATCTTAACAACAGTGTATGTCTTAACTACAGTGTATATCTTAACTACTTTATTTTAACTACAGTGTATGTCTTAACTACAGAGTATGTCTTAACTACAGTGTATGTCTTAACTACAGTGTATGTCTTAACTACAGTGTATGCCTTAACTACAGTGTATGTTTTAACTACAGTTTGTTTTAATAGTGTATTCTTAAACTACAGTGTATGTCTTAACTACAGTGTATGTCTTAATTACAGTGTATGTCTTAACTACAGTGTATGTCTTAACTACAGTGTATGTCTTAACTACAGTGTATGTCTTAAATACAGTGTATATCTTAACTACAGTGTATGTCTTAACTAAAGTGTATGTCTTAACTACAGAGTATGTATTAACTACAGTGTATGTCTTAAATACAGTGTATGTCTTAACTACAGTGTATATCTTAACAACAGTGTATGTCTTAACTACAGTGTATATCTTAACTACAGTGTATGTCTTAACTACAGTGTATGTCTTAACTACAGAGTATGTCTTAACTACAGTGTATGTCTTAACTACAGTGTATGTCTTAACTACAGTGTATGCCTTAACTACAGTGTATGTTTTAACTACAGTGTATGTCTTAACTAAGTGTATGTCTTAACTACAGTGTATGTCTTAACTACAGTGTATGTCTTAATTACAGTGTATGTCTTAACTACAGTGTATGTCTTAACTACAGTGTATGTCTTAACTACAGTGTATGTCTTAACTACAGTGTATGTCTTAACTACAGTGTATATCTTAACTACAGTGTATGTCTTAACTACAGTGTATGTTTTAACTACAGTGTATGTCTTAACTAAGTTGTCTTAATTACAGTGTATGTCTTAACTACAGTGTATGTCTTAACTAGGTTAGTCTTAACTACTTTATGTCTTAACTACAGTGTATGTCTTAACTACAGTGTATGTCTTAACTAAGTGTATGTCTTAACTACAGTGTATGTCTTAACTAAGTGTATGCCTTAACTACAGTGTATGTCTTAACTACAGTGTATGTCTTAACTACAGTGTATGTTTTAACTAAGTGTATGTCTTAACTACAGTATATGTCTTAACTACAGTGTATGTCTTAACTAAGTGTATGCCTTAACTACAGTGTATGTCTTAACTACAGTGTATGTCTTAACTACAGTGTATGTTTTAACTAAGTGTATGTCTTAACTACAGTATATGTCTTAACTACAGTGTATGTCTTAACTACAGTGTATGTCTTAACTACAGTGTATGTTTTAACTACAGTGTATGTCTTAACTAAGTGTATGTCTTAACTACAGTGTATGTCTTAACTACAGTGTATGTCTTAACTAAGTGTATGTCTTAACTACAGTGTATGTCTTAACTACAGTGTATGTCTTAACTAAGTGTATGTTTTAAAACTAAGTGTATGTCTTAACTACAGTGTATTTGTTTTAACTATAGTGTATGTCTTAACTAAGTGTATGTCTTAACTACAGTGTATGTCTTAACTACAGTGTATGTCTTAACTAAGTGTATGTCTTAACTACAGTGTATGTCTTAACTACAGTGTATGTCTTAACTACAGTGTATGTCTTAACTAAGTGTATGTCTTAACTACAGTGTATGTCTTAACTAAGTGTATGTCTTAATTACAGTGTATGTTTTAACTACAGTGTATGTCTTAACTGCAGTGTATGTCTTAACTAAGTGTATGTCTTAACTACAGTATATGTCTTAACTACAGTGTATGTCTTAACTACAGTGTATGTCTTAACTACAGTGTATGTTTTAACTACAGTGTATGTCTTAACTAAGTGTATGTCTTAACTACAGTGTATGTCTTAACTACTGATTTCTTAACAAGTGTATGTCTTAACTACAGTGTATGTCTTAACTACAGTGTATATCAAACTACAGTTTTATATCTTAACTACAGTGTATATCTTTAACTACAGTGTATTCTTAACTACAGTGTATATCTTAACTACAGTGTATGTCTTTAACTACAGTGTATATCTTAACTAAGTGTATATCTAACTACAGTGTATGTCTTAACTACAGTGTATGTCTTAACTTACAGTGTATTCTTAACTAGAGTGTATGTCTTAACTACAGTGTATGTCTTAACTAGAGTGTATATCTTAACTACAGTGTATATCTTAACTACAGTGTATATCTTAACTACAGTGTATATCTTAACTACAGTGTATATCTTAACTACAGTGAATATCTTAACTACAGTGTATA